CGTGCCCCATTGGTGAAATTCAATCTGAAGGCCAAGCCCTTCGCGGGCCTGCCGGGTAAGGGATTGCCGTCGCCCGACCGCCGCCGCGGTGGCCTTGGCTGGTCGGGTGGGTGTCGGCAGGAGGACGCCGTTTTGCACCGAAGTCCAGGAAGGCGCCCAAAGCCAGGGTAAGTGGCCCGGGATCGTCCGAGACGCGGGGCTTTCGGGACAGCCCTCCTCTTTGTTCGTGAGGCCGTGTCCCCTCCCTGGACTCCGCCCCCTCCCCGCGTCGGTGGCTGGGTTTGGCCGCCGCCCCCAGGCTGCTTTCCCGACACCTGGTCCGGGCCACCTCGGAGTAGAGGCGGCGTGGCCGGCAGCATCTTGACCCTATGTTGGAGCACCTCAGGGACCGCCTCAGATGCAGCAGGATCAGTCAGTCACACAGCACCCCTTTCTCCGCCGACACACCTTTGCACGGACGGTGCCCTCACCTGCCACGCGGCTCCCTTCCAAGCCCCGCAGGGTCTGCCTCTTGGAGCGCTGACGTCCTAAACTGGGAGTACGGAGTTCAGACCCTCATTCAACAGATGGAGGAAACTGAGGCCCGGAGAGAGCCAACATGCCCAAGACAACACGAGGAGTCAGCCAGGGGACTCAAAGAGCTCAGACCCACTGGGGAAAGCCACCCCGTCTCCTTTGCTGGAGGCCCAGGAGCCTTCCCCGCAGGTCTCCATGGAGACCAAAGGGAGTTGGAGCCAGGGAGGTGGGGTCCCGAGCCCAGTGTGTCAAATAATAGCATCGACTCATTTATTTTGTACTTGTCAGGTACCAGGCATATAATCCCTATAACCACCATTTGAGCCCAGGGTTACTGTCCCATTTTGCAGTTGAGAACAACAGCTGATAGGCAGTGGAACTGTGATTCATACCAGCACCTTTTGAGTCCAGAATCCGTGGGGAGGTGGGCTTGCTGCCCCCAGCAGAGTCCCTCAGCCCCACCTGTTCAGATCCTCTGTGACTACCCACCCTGCCCACCTCACCCGCATTTAGAGAGAGGTCCAGTATCCACCCCGAGACTCTTAAAGGTTTCCTATTTCATCCCCACATCCTTGACAGGTGGCCCCTTTTTACACACGGAAAAACCAAGGCCCTGAGAGGGAAGAGACTTGTTCGGGTCACACAGGAGGAACGAACAGCCCAATTTGGAGGCTATACCTCCAGGCCCCCTTCTCCTGGGCAGGCCCCATCTAGGCCCTGTCTACTTGACCTAGATGCCATCTTATCCTGCAGAATGAGAGTCAGCACCCTCCAAGGCCAACTGGGTCCTTGAACTTCAAACCTGGCCCACACATTGGAACAACCCCTTGTGGGGGGAACACCTAGGCCACCTGAGATTCTCAGGCCCTGCCTGGATGGCTGCTCCAGGCTCCAATGAATGGCCTGCTTCATGCTAGCTCTGCCCCCCCCACAAGCTTGATGAACCACAAAGGTGACTCCGCGTTGAGACTTGTTGGGTTGCACACAAGCTGCAGAGTTCTTGGAACCCCAAGCCCTCAGAGCTGGGGTCCACCTACCTGCCTGCCTATTTCTCTTCCTCCTTGCAAAGGGTGGGGCAGGATGGTGGTGATGGTGAAACAAAGATCAAAGGGCAATTGGTTCCCTGTGCTGCTGGGGAAGCTTCTGCCATATAGCCCAGGAACGTGTAAACATCCGGAGAGGACTGTTCTGGGGTTTACTGAGCACCTTCTGCGTGTCAGACACAGGTTTTGCCCTATTGCAAGTTGACCATTGTGCAAGAAAAGTATTACCCAGATTCTACAGAGGAGAAAGCTGAAGCCCTGGGAGGTGAAGGCATCTTGGGCTGGTAATGGCATTCAAACTTAAGTGAAATTCTGCCCATGTCAAAGTCCTTTTCTTCCACCTTGCTGCCTCTAGGATAGGGGAAATCTTGGAAGACTCCCTGGAGGAGGTGATGGGCAAACTGATCCTTGAGGAAGTATGAAAAGAAATCCACCCCACAGAATAGAGGGGGAAAATCATGGAAGGGCATTAGTGTCAGAGAAATAGTGTGAGTAGAAGCTGGGAGGCCTGTAAATGGGAAACGGAGGAGAGATGGGCCGTGGATGGAACAGAAAGTGGAGATAGGGTGGTCCCATCTGTGAGGTGCCTTGAATACCAGTGAACAGGGCATTGAGGAGGTGTGGGCCTCAGTCTCTCCATCTGTAAAATGAGGGAATTGGACTGGCCCACTTCAGGCCCTCCCAGGGAGAGGGGGTGTAACAGGAAGGATCCAGATTCCTCCAGGTCCAACCTTGGCAGCGTGGGGAGTAGCTGGAGGAGCTCAGGGACCAAGGGTAACATTTTGCTCCAGTGCCTGAGTTTGAGAATACATGTACCAGACTGGCAGTGCCAGATCCCTGAGCCACCCTGCTAGCTCCACCCAACCTCATCCTCGCCAGCCAGGATTCTGCAGAGAAAGCCCAGGCTTGGGGTTGGGACTCAGGAGGGGTGATGAATCTTAGCCCTGGCTCTATCCTAGGCTAAGTTTTGGTCCTCTGGAAACCACAGTTTCCTCCTCTTCACAATGGGAGAATTGTAGCCTGAACTCTCTAAGCCCTTTCCCTCCAGACGAGACAACTTAAAATTCCAAGACTGTATGGGAGACCCTACCTTGGGATGTGCTCATAAGTGGCTGTGAGGACAGTCAAGGCCAAGACCTTGGGCCTATGAGAGAGTCCAGGAGCTGCTGGGCACTGGAAGGGTTGGAGGGGCTAGAAGTGGATCCAAGTTGGTCCTGCTGTTGGGATCTCATAGCCTAGAGGTAGTAGGGGGAGACATGGTGTATGGAGTCTAAAAGTTGTCAAGAACAAAGCCCTCACTTGCTGTTTGACATGCTGAGAGGATGGGGAAAGGCAGCATGGAGAAGGGAACAGCATGAGCAAACCAAGGGAGGTAGGACTGTGAGGACTTTGTTGGGGAAAAGTCAGGTAGGTGAGGTTAGAGCATGGGGTCTCTAGAAGAGAACTGGTTCTTGTTGGCTGGGGTTGGCTGGATTCATGGGCTGTGACACTCCTCGTCATAGACAGAATTGGAGGCCCCTAAAGTCATGGCCAACAGCTCCAGGAGTGCGGCTGGAAACCTGTTTGGAAAACCAGTTTGGCAAGGCTGTCTCCTCCATGATTTCATCCAGCTGCTGTGTTCTCTGAGTGACAGTGCCAGATAAACTTCCGGCCTTGGAGGAGAAGGGGGCCTGGCCCTACGTGCTGAGGGATGGGAAAGGAGTGATTATTGATTTTTTTTTTTTTTTTTTAGAGAGAGAGAGGAAGGGAGAAAGAGAAAGAGAGAGAGAAACAGAAAGAAACATTGATTTGCTGTTCTACTTATTTATGCATTCATTGGTTGATTCTTTTATGTGCCCTGACCAGGGATCAAACCTGCAACCTTGGTGTATTGGGAGGACACTCTAACCAACTGAGCTACCTGACGAGGGCTGGAACGAGTCTTCAATAGAGGAAACTTGGAGGCAAGTGGGCCCCAGGAAGAAGACCTTAGGGGGCTTGAGATGCCCACTGAGCTGTGATGAACCCCAGGAGACAGCCTCATGGACATAGGAGAGGGTTATGCATGGGCTGGCATGGATTTTTGTGTGACTTCTGGGGGTTCCCTGATGATTGACGTCGTCTAGGCACATGGCAAGGGCCCCGTGTAATTGTTACCCAGTAGGTTGGAACTTGGCTTCAGATCACCCTTGTAATAAATGAGTGGCTGTTTTGTTATTACCATGACTCTCACAGCTTGACCCCTGTGAGATAGGATTATCATTATACAGATGAGAAGACAGGCTCAGTGAGACCAAGCCATGTAGCACCTCACATAGGATTTGAACCCAGAACCCTTGGCCTTAACCATGGTACCCTGCCATCTACCATTTAGGATCTCTTCCCACATGGGACCTTGTTATATTTCTTAACTACTTGTGAGCACAGAAGGGGAATCTTGGCATCATAGAGTCCTAGATGCCCACTTTGTAGTCCAAATAGGTAATCTGAGTCCCTGCCTTCTCAGGGACAGTCTTCGGGTCACACAGAAGTTGGGGTGGAGCCACTCTGCACTCCAGATCCCCAGTTTTCTAAATCCCTTGTTTCCCCCTCAGGGCCTGGCACACCCAAGCATGAACTGACAATAACTGTCACATACTGAGTGCCTACTATGTGCCATTCACTCATTTAATCATCACTACAACCCTGTGAGGTAGGTGCTAAGATTATATTCATTTTACAGATGAAGAAACAGTTCAGAGAGGGGAAGTCACTGTCCAAGTTTATATAACATGTTGGTGGTGGTAGGGCTGGGACTTGAATCCAGCTGTGTGGGCCCCTTCCCCAATAGACAAGAGAATGCATGGCCCCTTTGCAGGCTCTAGAGACGAGCAGTGTCCAGTTCATAGTTTCCCCACAGGCCTGGCCTCCATGGTGCGGGAAGAAAAGTGCTGAGGCTGTGGAAACTCTGTTAACCTTCCCAGAGGAGGCGGCCATGGTGGGAGGGAGTGCTCGGTGCAGACCTCAGAGCCAAGTGTAGACGTGGCGGCTTGGACGGGCTGCAGGGGAGGGAGGGCAGGCAGGGTGGAGCCCAAACCCAAACCAGCCTTCCAGCAGTGTTCCCAGCCCTCCGCCAGCCAGGCCCAGCCCTGCCTGCCCCTCTAGCTCCCCATCTGGATTTAAGATGAGGACTCTGGGCCTAATAATAGCTGAATGGCAGCAAGGGCAATGCCTGGAACTGCAGCCAGTGGCGGGGCTGGGGTCCCCCATAGTCTCGTGTTGGCCGGAAACAGGTTTCAGAACTTTAAAAATAATAGCAAGTGCTTGTGAAGTGCACACATGTGCTAAGTGCTGGCATTGTGCTAAGGCTTAGCCCACAGTAACTCATTTATTTCTTATGACCATCCCAATGAGATAAGACTGCTATTAGCTCTATTTAATGGATAAAGAAACTGAGGCACAGAGGGTTAAGCAACTTACCCCTGATGATTATGGCAGCCTCAATTGCTGAGCACATACATGTTCGTCCTGGGCACTGTGATAGGCACTTACTGTGTATTTTCCCATTTGAGGAAAATACAGAAGTCATTATGGGCAGATTGTCATTAATTCTGATGGGGAAAAAATGAGACCCAGAGTAAAAAGGGAATAACTTTGCCCTGGCAAAGATGTGACTGCAAGGGGCAGAATTAAGACTCAAACCCAGAACTCTCTAACTTTAGAGATGTTAAGACTCGGGCTTCTGGAATCAGACAAACCTGAGTATACTGGTGACAATCACTGCTCCTTAGCTGTGTGGCTTTGGCAAGTTGTATGACCGGCTTGACTTTGTTTTCTCCTCTGTAAAATGGGGTTTTGGTTGAGATGATGCTAATACCACCTCTCAGTTATTAAGCCATCTTGGGGTCATTTATAGCATGCCTTTACATCATGCATTCACCTATCTTGTTATCACGAGAGCCCCTAAGGTGGGGACTGCTTTTTCCTTACACCTGTTTTATAGAAGAGAAATGTGAGGCCCAGAGAGGGGAAAGGACTTGCCGAAGGACCACTTCATCTCCCTGAGCCTAGAACAAGATGTGGCTCCAAAGAAGAGGTTCAACACCTAAGTGAACCACGGGACTCACAAAAGACCTTTCCCTGGAGGACCCACGTGATAGCCTGTGTGGGTGGGAGCTGGTAATGGGCTAGCCAGTTCACAATTAAAGAGCAATTAGTCACCAGCTAATTGATGCACAAGACAGCTGAGGGGCTGGGAGGGGAGCAAGGGACTGACATTCAAAAAGGAGCCTCAGGTATTTTTCTGGGAAAATATTGAGAGAGGGCAGTGAGGAATCCCCAGGGTAATGTCTGAGAACCTCTTCTGTGTTGTTGAAGAAGATTTAAATAACAGAATTCCCCTCAAAGGGAGCTGGTCCCTTTAAGAAACAGATGGGACTAAGCAGGCCATGGTGGCTAGGACTGGAAGAACTAGCCTGGAAGGTAAAGGGTGGGACTGAGGAAGAGTCACCTTGTCCTACTTTTGGGGGCAAGATACTTTCAGGTATTAGGAGAGATTTTTTTTTGGTTTGAAAATACTAGAAAGTTCCCTAGATTATCCTGAGCAAAGGGGGACTTTATTGGGAGGCCATCAGAAGTGGTATCAAGATTATAAAAATTTCAAGGTAGAAAGATGGGGCCATCAAACTCATTGTTCTGGTTTCCACACTTCCTTCTGATCAGCCTGTTGGTTAGAATCTTGCATTTGAAGTGTCATCTGCGGACCAGCATCTTTGGCATCTCCTAAGAGCTTCTTGGAAATGCAGAGTCTCAGGCCTCACTCCAGACCTACTGAATCAGGACCGGTATTTCCACAAGAATCTCAATGCACATTATAGCTTAGGTTTGTGGCCACAAGAATCAACTGGGTGATTGGGGGAGAGTGTCTCTTAAACCTGAAGGTTCCTAGGCCTTCCAGGAGAGCTGCTGCGTTGGTGGTCTCCAGGAGATGGGTGTTTCCCAGAATCCATGGGGGAGAGGGCAATAAATTTGACAAATAGTCTGAGGTGATAGCAGGGTGAAAGTCCAGCCCACAGCCGCCTGCTCCTCTGATAGGAGATGGGCCTGAGAAACCCAGGCCTGTGACTTGCCAAGAAGGAAACTGCTCAGGACACTGAAGAGAACACCCTGTACACTGCTGGGCTTCTACTTTGGGGGCTTTATTTTGAAGGGTTCATCTGCTTGGCTGAAGGAAAGCAGAGGGTGGCCTGGGCTGATGTCAGAGTTGGGGATCTTAACCTGCCTGCTGTGCTCCAGGTAAGTAGCTCCCAAAAAGCTGCCTTTGGCTGAAGCATGGGAACAGGGGTATTGACTTGGCCCTGTGGGAGTTCCGAAGTGCCTTCACCCTTTATCATATTTGATTTTCATACTAATCTTGTACAAAGGACCAAAAAGAAACAGTCAAGCATGGAAGGCTCCTGCCTCTAAAAAGGGTTGACCTCAACTTCAGAAGTGACTATAACAGTTAAGTTTAGTGAGAGCTACTACTTAACTTGTACTCCCTCTTGGTCCATTAAAATCCGGTTCTCAAATTAAAAGTGCTGTTGAGTTAGGAGGTTGTGTCAGGGGTGAGCTCATCTTTTCACATTTTGAAGTTGTTAATTTAAAGTGTGACCATGTTAGATCAACTCACTAAGACACAAGTAGCCGTCTGGGCTTGTTCAGTACTCTCTGGGGTTCAAGAGTTTCCTTTTTAGGGCCAAAACAATTCCTACTTCTCCCACTTACTTCTGTATGGGAGAAAGGATCGCCTGCCTGCCACCTCCATGTCCCAGGCATCACCTGGCACCTTGAGGCAGCTCCCAAAATTGCAGACAGAGGCTCCAGAGGAAATCGTCTGTCTTTACAAGGCTTGCCTAGTGTCTCCAAAATTTATTCAATGACATCACAAGTAAGGCTTGGCAAATGGGATAAGGGAGTCTGGCCAGTGAGGACAGACAGAAGCCTACAAACATGGGTTCAGGCAGGACGAAAATGGAGATTGCCAACAGGTGGAGGTGAGAACAGAGCTGAGCACCTTGGAAAGAGAATGAACAGCCTAGTTAGTGTTACAGAACATGTTCATGAGTGCGGTCCTCCTTTCTCCCCAGCAGCACTGAATAGTAAGATATAATTATATTCATTTTACAGATAAGGGTCCTAAGGTCCAGCAAGATCATAGGGCTACACATAGCTGAGCCATGCACATTAAACCAGTATTTGGCACATAGTGGATGCACAGTTGACACTTGTGGAATGTGTACATTTGATAGCACTATTAAGAAGAACTGCAAATGATGAGAAATGTGTATTTTTGCATAGCCTTAAGTATCAAGGCTATGCAAAAACACAAGACACTTACTAATTTCAAAGGGACACTTTACAACAGAGCAACCCAGCAGACACCTTAACCAAGGAATCAATGTTAACATTACCAGCAATAAATCTTATTGACAGAATGTAGCTGCTGCACTTAGAAGGGCACAACGTCACTGCTGTGGTGTTCTTGCCCAAAATGCATAACCTCGATCTAATGGTGATAAAATGTGAGACATCCAAATCGAGGGATATCCTATAAAATGACTGAGTAGCACTCTTCAGTGTCAAGGTCATAGAGAAAAGAGAGACCTAGGAACTGTCAGGTTGGAAGAGACTAAGAAGACACAACTAAATGCAATGCGGGATCCTGGATTAGGTCAAAAGGAAAACTGGCAAAATTCAAATCAGGTCTGTAGGTTAGTTAATAATATTGTATTAGTGTTAATTTCCTGGTTCTGATCATTGTACTTAGGTTAGGTGAGATGTTAATATTAGGGGAAGCTAAGTGAGGGGTATAGGAGCTAAAGAGTTTAGGGGAAACCCTCTGGACTATTTTTGCAACTTTCCTGTAAGCCTAAAATTATTTCACACACAAAAAAAACTTTAAAACTACAAAATAAATTTTACAACATGTGAATTATATCTGTTTAAAGAAACTATAAGAATCTTGATGAAGTGAGACATGAAAATATAGCTCCTTCAGATGGTACTTCCTCCCCTACCAGAGCTCATTTTCTCTTGTAATTTGAAGTGGCATTTGGAAGCTCCATATGTTTCAGATACACTCAGCTCAAATGCCATGTCTTTCAAGAAGCTGTCCTTGATCTCTACTGCTAGATGTGCGTCTCCCCTAAACTCTCATGCTACGTTACCTGTACCTCTACTGGGCATTTATCATCTCCATC